ATGATTTACAATACAATGCTCTACTATATCTGTTTAGATCCAAGCGTCTAAAAATACATTTAAAAGTTCGATTGAAATAACCTAATAAACGGGTAAACGAGTTACTTTAAATGTCTTAACCACCAATGTGATCTTAAGGTCGATCCAAATATCATGAAACAATCTAAAGTCATATTTTATGCTGTTTCGAGAGTTATATCAAGCGAAATAAAACGTTTAAATTTCTAGCCATCGTTCTTTCTTTTGTCATCATAAACTTTGATTGATACAAACAGAAAAGTTATTAAGTTTCGTATAAGCGTAGACTCTCTTACATTTTAGGACGGTATATCGTGTTTCTTGTTCAAAACGAACATAACCGATCGTACTGCAGTGCTGCCATCTGCTTTTCCGGCTAATGTTATTTAATCATATCAAGTATACTAAACTGCAACTATTCTTCTACCTGGTGATCCTAAAGGTTTTATCTGGAAAAGCTTGTTGGCCTTATTCACCAGTCTCTCGTGAACTTGGCGAAGGATAGAAAATACCAAGATATGTTTTCTCTTAAAATTTGTTTTATAACCAGTATAGCAGTTAGCGACGAGTAAATACGCCAAAAATAATTATAGGACTCAGGTGCGTCGATTTCCCTTAAAAGTAATCGGGTAGGATTCGTAAAATAACTGGATGTTCGAGCAGAAAATGTTTTTGGAGGAGTAAATCTGAATTATCTGACTTTGAATGAGTTGTCATGATGTAAAAATAAGGGACTGAACACAATATAACACAATTAAAACAATATTTATTTATTTCATAAAACAATCAGAATAAGTGTATTTACGAAGGATGCGCCTTTACTAGGCTTCCAAAGATCTCTGTAATGACGCAAAAATCTGTGAAGCTTCAAACAAAAGTATTTTACAAACTGAAAAAATATAGAATTATAAAGACAGAATAATAATGCCATTGTTTTCAGGATGCATGTGCTACCTACGTCACTGTTGACCATTCCCATCGAAAAAATAAGAGAGATTGTATCCTCAAGTATTCAATGATTAGTGACCCGTTAGTGAAGAAGATTACTATCTTCCTTCACATAGTATGTTCATATTTACATAAGTATTTCCCACGAGAAGGCACACATGATACTATAGATAATGATCCAGCACAATAGGAAACTAGGGCGAAAGGAACTTAATCACTTTCTTGACCAGCATTCTAGAATTAAAACTAAATAAAGTTATATTCATGAAACTTAGAAAATTTTACATGAACTTAAGAATTAAATATAATGGACAGAAAACACCTAGCCTGCCTGTATATTGCATCTTGAATGTTTTAAGTGAGCTAACGTTAAAATCAAAAATAAAACTGAATAAGATAGATAAAACAGGATTTTTGTTCTTGTATTGAACGTAATATGCATTGGGCTTCTGTTCTCGTAAGCCTCGTAACTTTAATTGATGATACAATAGAGTTATTCTTTAGTATAGTAATTATTTTCATTCAAAAGAATCTCCTTAGTTCAGGAGTCTACGTGTTTTAGATACATCACTTAATCTCTATAAGAGAGCGTCCATTACAAGTCTCGTATATCCACAATGCTGTCTTCTTCAGTGTGATATATATTGTTGGAATCTATCCGGGCTAAACAACGTGACAAACAGTTAAAAGATGGGAATATGTGATACATTCCCTTCAAATATAAGGGGAAGAATATAGTTCTACATTACAGCTTACTACTGTCAAACATCTAAACTCGTGATGATGTAATTTTTGTTATTGTTTTCTTTTTCAAACGAAATATATTGGATCATTTAAGTACTTGCATTCGCTAATAGAATGTAATTATTTTTGTTAAAAGTGTATCATGACAGCACGCATATAATAGACACGAATACATGAATAGCTGAAGAATAACTGTTACAATTATAACCCCTAAAACACAGCAGAAATAGCACTTTCATTGTTTCGTGAACCTTTAAACATATAAATATTAAATATGATTATTTCTATAGGAAAGTAGAAGGTAATATTTAATGCATTCTTAAAAACAGATATTATAAACATAAAATTAATGTTTGTTGTTTTTGACCATAGTTTGAACCATTGTTTTCTGGAAAGATATTTGTTCTATCAATCGTTTTCTGAATATCATAATTTGTAAATATTTTACTTAATAGAATGATAGGAATAGGGGACACAAATATAAGTTTTGGTAGGGTATGAGTCATCTTCAGCTAAGATAGCTTTACATTTCTGACAGGATGGTCGGTCTTAACAAAGGATCTCCTTCAGATTTGGTGGATGCAGTAAATTTAAGGGAGTATTCTAAGGGAATATTTGATAAATATTTGAATGAAAATGGCTGACTTTGAGTGTTTCATTTTTATTTTAAAGGGTAGTTTAATTAATAGGACGGCCTGGATGGACTAGCAAGTCCCTTGTTGTCTTTAAATTATATGTACGTGCATAAATCGGGCAATTGTCATCAAAGTGATACTGTCACTAAAGAAAACACATCTGTCACAAGCATCAAGACATACTGAAAATTGGAATTAGGGTAGCGGTAATATCTTTTTAAGTAAGGTGAAGTGACTTGAGACTCTTTCGAATGGATGTTTTGGTAACTGAAACATAACGTAAAGTGGCTTTTTAATAGATAACATTAATCTGTAACATTATAGTGTTATATTTACCTAGAAAGGAAGGGTAAACTGTTCAAGACAACAAGAATTATTTTGAAACTACTTAAACTAGCATGCAATTCAGCCATATTGATTAGAAAATGATCAGCAGTGCTTGTTATACAGCAAATAAATTACATTAAAGACGTCATGTTTGTTATGACGTCACACGACGTTTAGTATATTGAATTGAAACAAAAATTTAATCTCACTGGAGTAATGTTTAATCAACACATATATTTATATCAGTAGCTCTTAGTGTTATTCAGTCTTTTTGTTGCCATAGTAACTTCCAACTCAGCGTCAGGAGCCTCTCAAACCAATGTTTGATTCTCACTGTTGTAAAAGAAAGATATTGATTTTTTTACCTAATTCTGTTCTACTCGTACAGATGAAACTTATTTTGGTTAAGCAATACAGTGCAAGTATAGCATAAAACATGTCTTAGCATAAATCCTGTTGACTTCAGTGTTACAGACAGGTAGGCAATACCTGAATAAAACATTGGCCACACGTATCTGTACTGACTACTAAACAATCTGGATGATAGCAATGTTTAAAAAAATCAGAGAAGAAAATTATATCAAACCTGCAATATAAAAACAATTGGAAAAGTAAATCTATCTGAACAGCTATTGCAATAGCATTCGAGGAAACTGCTATTATTTATTTTGAAAAAAAAAACAATGAAAAAATAATATCATATAAATATTATAATTTTACACTATGAAAATATATATTCTATTATTTCTTGTATTTATGGCAAAGCTACTAAGGCACAGTTACTATGGCTATCTGCCGCCGTTCCTTATTTTGAGCCACTGAACAGAGAGAAGGCAGCCAATCATCATCATCATCCTACTATTCTCCAACCACGCTTTCTCTCTTATAATACACCTACGGCTTAAAGTGCATGGAATATTTTGTGGTATAACAGATTCGAACCCGACTCGCCAGCTCCGAAAGCAGCTTTCTATGATAAGGTCAACCTGAGCCGCTATGACAATAACGAGGAAATG